GTGGCCAAGTCTGACTTCCCAAGATACGGGCGCAGCTGGCGCACGAGCCGGAGCTGTGCGAATGCTCCTCTGGAAACCGCTGAAACTTGGGGTTCCAAGCTTAGGGAAGAATCCAGAGTCACACCCAAGCTGCGAACCTGCGTCTTCAGGGGGAGTGCGACCCCGTCCAACACAGGCTGTAACCCTATACCCTGTTCGGCCTTCCGACTGACCAGGAGTACCTCTGTCTTGTCTGGATTGAGTTTCAATTTGTTCACCCTCATCCAGTCCGACACAGCGGCCAAGCACCGGTTCAGGACCTGGACAGCCTCCTTAGTAGTAGGTGGAAAGGAGTGACAGAGTTTCCTGAGTCAACGCAGCATCACTCCTCAAGGAGGGAGAGAAAGGTGTGTGGGAATGGGAGGCAGAGCAGAGATAAGGTGTCAAATCCACCTGAAATTAGCCTGACGCAGGATGTAGCGATATAGCAATCGTCCCCTTGTACTGTTATTCCAAGAAACCCACATGAAAAAGGAGAAAGGGCAGTGTAGGTGGAAAAGTCTGTTGGAATTTGTTTAAACTGCATTTTTTCTCATCATAGATTATCCTAATTTATGACAATAATTCCAAAGCCAGAGGTTCAACCACCTTACCTGTATGTCTAAACTCCCTGCATCAAAGCAGAATAGCGAGAAAGCTGTTTGTGAGGTGGTGCCAAAGTGCTAAAGCTACTGGAAATTAGACTAAGGCTGAATATAACAAATATTGGCTTATTTCAAGAAATAATAATAATAATTTCAAAGGCTTTCATGGCCGGAATCACTGGGTGGTTGTGAGTTTTTCAGGCTGTATGGCCATGTTCCAGAAGCATTCTCTCCTGATGTTTTGCCTGCATCTATGGCAGGCATCCTCAGAGGATGCAGGTGAAACGTCAGGAGAGAATGCTTCTGGAACATGGCCATACAGCCCAGAAAACTCACAAAAACACAAAAATAATTATAATCATTTATTTCTAGACTGCCCCCTCTGCCCATAGGGAATTGGGGTGGTTTACATACATATAAAACAGGCACATGCTAAAAGTCACACAAGTGAAAGGGGAATCAGAATTATAGAGTTGGAAGAGATCTCATGGGCCCTCCAATCCAACCCCCTGCAAGTAGCAGGAAAATCACATTCAAAGTACCCCTACTGATGGCCATTCAGCTTCTGCTTAGAAGCCTCCAAAGAAGGAACCTCCACCACACTCAAGAGCAGAGAGTTCCCCTGCTGAACAGTTCTTCCTAATGTTCAGGTGGAATCTCCTTCCCTGTAGTTTGAAGAGACTGTTCTGCATCCTAGTCTCCAGGGTGGCAGAAAACAAGCTTGCTCCCTCCTCCCTATGACTCCCCCTCATAGTATAAAGGGAGAATTTTCTGCCAGGCTGTTGTATTGAACTCAGAAACCTCTGAGGATGCCTGCCATAGATGCAGGCAAAACGTCATGAGAGAATGCTTCTGGGACATGGTCATACAGTCTGAAATTTGCTACAATCCTAATTTACTACAATCATTCTAAAGAAAGGTGTTTGATTACCTGCCTTGTCAGTTTGTATCTATCTATCCAAGATCCTAGTCTAAGCAGAGAGTGGAGGTGTAAGCTCTATTGAAATTATGTAGATACCCTACTCTGCTGTATAGTTATTTCAAGAAATCCACAT